TGTGTCTGTGTGTCAATGTGTCTGTTTGTCTGTGTGTCTGTGTGTCTGTGTGTTTGTGTGTCTCTGTGTGTGTGTGTGTGTGTGTGTGTGTGTGTGTTTGTCTGTTTGCTTGTGTGTCTGTCTGTTTGTCTGTCTGGCTGGCTAGCCGTGTCTACCTGTCTACCTGTCTACCTGTCTGCCTGTCTGCCTGTCTGCCCGTCTACCTGCCTGTCTGTCCTTTTTACTCCTCCTGGCCCTGTCCCCCCCCCCCCTCCCCCTAGTCAGTTTTTCTCTCTAATTATTTATTAATTATATATTATTAGTTCTTAATGAACTAATTAATTAACTAATTTTTAATTAATTAATTAATTAATTACTTAATTAATTAATTAATCAATTAATTAATTATTCATTAATTAAGGGTCATTTTATGCTTTGGGGGGGGTGGGGGGGGACAGGGCCAATTGGAGTAAAAATCAATAGGTCCAGTCCCCCACCCCCCTGGGTTTTTGAATTTGCTATGGTCCCCCATATGATTTTTGCAATTTTCTGAGCTGCCCTTTTGTATTTTGCTTAAGGGCTCGAAATTACAATCAAGTCTGCTATGGTCCCCCATATGACTGTTGTGATTGTCGGAGCTGGCCTCTTGTGTTTTGCTTAAGGGCTCGAACTTATACTCACACTTCTGCTAGGGCACCCCACAGGACTTAAGCCTTGGGCCTTTCACTTGAAATCCTGAAAGTAAACAAACAAATTGCAAGCCCCTAAACCCCAAAACCCTTAAACTCAAAACATGGTGGGGTGGTGGTGGTGTGCCATGTACTGCCATGCTGCACTGCACTGGACTGCACTGCACCGCACCTTTTTGCTCCACTGCTGGCCTTGCTGTCTCACTTACTGCCACTGTGTCAGGGGATTCCGGTAGCCAGCTGAAGCTTTCTCTGCCCTGTCTCTGTCCCTCTTCTCCTGGTATCGCTTCTTTCGGACTTCTTTTTCGGCCTCATACTTCAGCTTCCATTTCAGCTTCAAGGCCTTCTTCTTTTCCTCCTGCTGCTTCTTCTTCTCCTCTTCCTTTGCCTTCCTCCTCCTTTCCCTTTGTCTTTGCTTCTTCAGCCTTTCCTGCTCCTTCGTTCTCACCCTCTTCTTGTTCTTCTGTTTCTTCTTGCTGGATGGTGTCTTTCCCTTCTTCTTGTTCTCCTTGGCATTCTTCCTTTTGCTCTGATCCCTCTTCTTTTGCTTGGCTTTCTTCTCGGCCTTCTCCTCCTCCTCCCAGGTTGTTTTGGCTTCTTGGATGCTCGCCACGAGGTCTTTCCATTCGTCTTCCAACCCAGGGCTGCAGCTGCTAGGTGCCATGCTCCAGTAGGACAGTAGCTTGAGCCAATCACCTGCCAAGGACTGCTTTGACACAGGGGGGGTTCGAGCCAGGGACCTTTCGGGAACAGAGCACAGCAAAGACAACTAGGCCACAGGGTGGCCTGCCCACCCCCCCCTCTCCCTGGCTCCCTGGCCCCCAGGCCTCCTGGTCCTGGCCTGCCTGGCCCCCCTGGCCCTCTGGCCCTGGGGCCCTCCGTGGCCCCCCTCCGAGCCTTGGCTTTGTTTTAATTAAAAACAGAGGGAGGGAAGGTCGGGAGGGAGGGAAAAAGAGGGCAGAGGGCACAGGGGGGATCGAGCCAGGGACCTTCGGGTTGGGAGGCGGGCCAAGGACCACTGGGCTAGAACAGGCCTGTTTTTGGAGCTGGTCCGACACCTCTAGACCAGGCTCGAAGCCCCCAAAAGCAAAGAAATATTTTCAAAAACGAATGTGTTTTTTTATAAAAATTTAAAAAAATAAAAAGAAACCGCCGGCCGGCGAAGCCGGCCGGCGAATTTTTTTTTTGCTTGATTTATAGGCAGGGGTTGGCAGGAGGAGGGGCTAAAGGCTTTTTTTGTCAGTTTCTGAAGGTTTCGGCTTCAAGGTTGGAAGGGGTGGGTTCAAGGCTTTTGGTTCGGGGGTTCGGTTTTGGAGTATAGGATTGGAGGAACAGCCCTTCGAAATGAATGGGTTTGTGAAGAGGGAGCTGTGGGGCTTGTATTTCAGGAAATTCGGTGGTAAAGATGTAGGTGCCAGTATATGCACTGGTGCAGCACTACGAAATTACGACATATGCGAACACGAAAAGGTTAAGAGTTTTAGGGTAGTGATTTCTGCCCCAGCAAGCACCTTGCAAATAAGTTACTTCTCGGGTGTAGGGGTTTCGGTGTAAGCAAGACCAGACACCTTGTTGTAAGGCTTGTGTAGTTTGCTTTGCAATGGCTTAATCATTGCCGTACTCGCGAAGCGAGGGATTTTTTTTTGATTTTTATGAAGAAAATCAGTAAGGTAAGCATTGGGATTCGGTTTGCCCGAACAGACACCTTGCAGTTAGGCTTCTGTGATTTTCGGTGTGTATAATTGAAAACTCGCTGTACTCGCGAAGCGAGAAAATTTTTGGCTTTTATGTAAGAAAATCAGCAAAGCAAGCATTTTTCCAAACACACACAGTGAGGCCTCAGAGTTTAAGGGTTGACTTACAGGTTTGGGTTCAAGGTTTTAGGGCTTAGGGCTTAGGGTTTAGGGTTTAGGGTTTGGGGTTTAGGGTTTGGGGTTTTGGGTTTAGGGTTTAGGGTTTAGGGTTTAGGGTTTAGGGTTTAGGGTTTAGGGTTTAGGGCCTGGGCCCCAGCAGGTGGGTTTAAGTAAATTGAGGGGCCCTGGGCCCCAGCAGGTGGGTTTAAGTAAATTGAAGGGCCCTGGGCCCCAGCAGGTGGGTTTCAGTAAATTGAAGGGTCCTGGGCACCAGCAGGTGGGTTTAAGTAAATTGAAGGGCACTGGGCCCCAGCAGGCGGGTTTAAGCAAATTGAAGAGTCCTGGGCCCCAGCAGGTGGGTTTAAGTAAATTGGAGAGCCCTGGGCCCCAGCAGGTGGGTTTAAGTAAATTGAAGGGCACTGGGCCCCAGCAGGTGGGTTTAAGTAAATTGAAGGGCCCTGGGCCCCAGCAGGCGGGTTTAAGCAAATTGAAGAGTCCTGGGCCCCAGCAGGTGGGTTTCAGTCAAATTGAAGTTTACTGGGCCCCCAGCAGGTGGTTTTAAGTAAATTGAAGGTCACTGGGCCCGAGCAGCGGGTTTACAATTGAAAGAGTCCCTGGCCCCATCCTTGGGTTTAGTATATTAAAGTAAAGGTCCGGGCCCCAGCAGGTGGAGTTTTTTAATTAATTAAATGCGGCCCTGGGCCCAAGCCAGGCTGGTTTCAGCAAATTGAAAAAAACAAAAAAGAGTTCCCTGGGCCCCAGCATGTTTCCAGTAAATTGAAGGTAACCTGGGGCCCCAGCAGGTGGGTTTAAGTAAATTGAAGGGCACTGGGCCCCAGCAGGCGGGTTTAAGCAAATTGAAGAGTCCTGGGCCCCAGCAAGTGGGGTTAAGTAAGTTTAAGTAAAGGGTCCTGGGCCCCAGCAGGTGAGTTTAATTAAGTAAATTGAAGGGCCCTGGGCCCCAGCAGGCGGGTTTAAGCAAATTGAAGAGTCCTGGGCACCAGCAGGTGGGTTTCAGTAAATTGAAGGGTCCTGGGCCCCAGCAGGTGGGTTTAAGTAAATTGAAGGGCACTGGGCCCCAGCAGGCGGGTTTAAGCAAATTGAAGAGTCCTGGGCCGCAGCAAGTGGGTTTAAGTAAGTTTAAGTAAAGGGTCCTGGGCCCCAGCAGGTGAGTTTAATTAAGTAAATTGAAGGGCCCTGGGCCCCAGGAGGCGGGTTTAAGCAAATTGAAGAGTCCTGGGCACCAGCAGGTGGGTTTAAGTCAATTGAAGAGTGTTTAGGGTTTAGGGTTTATAAGGTCATTCTGCAAGCATTTTGGCTTATTTTTGGCTTATTGCAGGACTTATTCTCAGTAGAGGAAAAGCAGAGGAAGATGAGAAGCAAAGGAGAGGAAGAGGAGAGGAAGAGGAGACAGGAAAAGGGTTCAAGGTTTAGGGTTTAGGGTTTAGTAGCTCATCCCCAACATCCTTTCCCTTGAGAGAATTATTGGGATTATAGGAGGGTTTCGGGTTGGGGGGGGGGAGGGTTTAGGGCAGGGCAGGGCAGGGCAGGGTAGGCAGGGCAGGGCAGGCCAGGGCCAGGGCCAGGGCCAGGGCCAGGGCAGGGCAGGGCAGGGTAGGGCAGGGCCAGGGGCAGGGCAGGGGCAGGGCAGGGCAGGGGCACAGGGCAGGGGCAGGGCAGGGGCAGGGCAGGGGCAGGCAGGGCAGCAATGCAGATATCCTTCCACTTCCTTGGCCTACACCTTTTGTCAAGAGACAACAGTGCACAGCACAAGGAACAATCCATTACATGCCAGCACTGACACAGCACTTCTTTTTTTGCATGCCAGCCAGCTGTATGTCCACCCCTCTTAGGAGGAGTCACCTAGAGTCTTACACTCCCAGTGAGTCCAACGTCCTTGCTGCACAAGGTGCCTATGAGGGCAAACTGTATTTGACCCTGTGGCACCAGTTGATGCTGCTCCACGTCCAGATTGCTCTGGCCATGGAAGCTCTGCTGTCATACCCCTTGCTGATCCTTGTGGCCTTATCCTGGGGTCCCCAGCCTCCAATGTATGCAAACTTTGGCTTGCCACTGCCTCGCTCACCTGCCTTGCCCCTTGTCTTCAGATCTGGAAGCAAGCTCTCAATGATGAGTTCTTCTGGGCAAAGATCAGCGACAGTGATTCCTGACACTTCCTGGGGTGTGGGTGCCTCATACGGGGGGGCAGGCTGCAGTGGCTGAGCTGGGGCCCTGCTTATAAGCCTCAGTGCTCTCTGCCTGGCAGGATCTTCCAATTCCTCACCTCCGAGGAAGATGTCTGCAGGCCTGGCTGGTCCAAGTGCCGGTGCAGCCATGGCACGTGCAGCAGGTACCCTTGCAGGTGCTGCATGGGGGGCTGGAATCCAATGCACATCAGCTTGGGCCCCAACAAAAGGTTCTGAGATGTGTTCCTGCAGGGTGGTGTTCCACTTCCCAGAAGCGAATCCAAGGGTGGCCAGCAAGTTGAGGTAGATCACTCTCTTGCCCTTGAACAAGGCTACCTGTCCTGGGTCATTTGTGTCAGGCCCTTGAGCAGCCATGCCTCCAAAGCAGTCTCCTGCTTCTGCCCAAGCCCATGCTGCCAGGACATGTGCTTTGAATTCCTGAAGAGAAATTCGCTTGATCTGGATCAACCCTGTTTCCATCAGCTTCTTGACATAGTCCAGATTCAGCATTGCTCCAGGCAGCAGCTCTGCCAATGACTGTGCAGCTGATGCCCTGACTCTGGTCTCGAATCTGCCACCAGTAGCCTGATGAAGACGGCCCAGGAGCTGGAAGGTGTAGTCCTGAAGAGCTTGCTTCCTGTTGATCATGTGGTACATGTGGCTTGGCCACACAGGGTCCAGTCCTGTCAGGACCAATCTTGTGTGGTGCAGGAGGGGATATAGCTGTATGGCTTTGCCTTCATCATTGCCAAAAGGGCCAGATCCATGAGGCTTTCCTTCGAGGGATCCATAAATGAACCCACCCAGGTTTCTCTGAGAACCAGGCACCAAGGGCAGCACCCTCCATTTGAAGCCATTCCGTCTGTCATGCCAGACACCATGTCCACTGCAACGAATACCAAACAGCCACACATGGTTCTCATCCCTTGCCATGAGGCCAATGTCCATAGCAGTATGAGCATCTGGTACATGTGGAATCTGATTCAAGACTTGTTGTGGGCTCGGCAGCAGCAGCTGCTTCATCCCAAATCTTCTTACATACACCTGGGCAATACCTGCACTCTGGAGCACTGCCTTGAACATTTCGCTCTGGACCTTGATCGCCCCTCGGGTCAAGCCTGAGTGATCAGTTGGTGTGGCAACTGGCTGCTCTGATCCCGCTCTCCAAAGAACCTCACAGAGATATTCCTTCCAGTCTTGCATGTCTTCACCAGCAGGTACTGGAACATACACAGCCATTGGGTATGGGCACACTTGGATGACATCCTGTGGCCTTTCTGGATATATCTTGAGGATAGGCTGCTGGAGAAGCTGGTAATCCAGCAATGGGTGCTCTGGAAGCTGATTTGTTGGCACTTTGCAAAAACTCATGTCCAGGTCCAGGGGGAAAACCTGGATTGGGTTTGGCAGTGGCTCTGCTGGAGCTTGCACTGCTGGAGCTTGCACAAGTGCTCTCTGCACAGCCCTCAAGCGAAGCAATGCACCCAGAAAGTTTCTCTGTAGGAGACAGTATGCTGGGTTGTAGTGCGGAGTCACCACTTCATCTTCACCGAAAGGCCTTATGATCAGGCCAAGCAAATACCCTCCAATGATGTCCACAACCTCTGGTGGGAACGAAGCATGAGCCATGGCCTCCACCACTACAAGCTCGTTAGCTGCTATGGGCCTTTCCAACCAAGGACTGCTGTAACAGAACTCGCAAGTCATACTGCTGCATAAACTGACAGTGACATGACAACACAGAAAGGCTTCACATGTGTGGTCTGTCTCTTGTCGGTTTCTCTTCCTCTCTTTTTCTCGTCTGTCTCCGTCTCTCTCCTTTCTCTTCATATTTCTCTCTCTCATTCTCTCTCTATCTCTGTCTCTACCTCACTCAAGTTGTTTTTCGGTGGTTCGTTCACTGGTTTGTTTCTTTGCTTGTTGCTTGTTTGTCTGTTTGTCTGTGTGTGTGTGTGTGTCTGTGTGTCTCTGTGTCAATGTGTCTGTGTGTCAATGTGTCTGTTTGTCTGTGTGTCTGTGTGTTTGTGTGTCTCTGTGTGTGTGTGTGTGTTGTCTGTTTGCTTGTGTGTCTGTCTGTTTGTCTGTCTGGCTGGCTAGCCGTGTCTACCTGTCTACCTGTCTACCTGTCTGCCTGTCTGCCTGTCTGCCCGTCTACCTGCCTGTCTGTCCTTTTTACTCCTCCTGGCCCTGTCCCCCCCCCCCTCCCCCTAGTCAGTTTTTCTCTCTAATTATTTATTCATTATATATTATTAGTTCTTAATGAACTAATTAATTAACTAATTTTTAATTAATTAATTAATTAATTACTTAATTAATTAATTAATCAATTAATTAATTATTCATTAATTAAGGGTCATTTTATGCTTTGGGGGGGGTGGGGGGGGACAGGGCCAATTGGAGTAAAAATCAATAGGTCCAGTCCCCCACCCCCCTGGGTTTTTGAATTTGCTATGGTCCCCCATATGATTTTTGCAATTTTCTGAGCTGCCCTTTTGTATTTTGCTTAAGGGCTCGAAATTACAATCAAGTCTGCTATGGTCCCCCATATGACTGTTGTGATTGTCGGAGCTGGCCTCTTGTGTTTTGCTTAAGGGCTCGAACTTATACTCACACTTCTGCTAGGGCACCCCACAGGACTTAAGCCTTGGGCCTTTCACTTGAAATCCTGAAAGTAAACAAACAAATTGCAAGCCCCTAAACCCCAAAACCCTTAAACTCAAAACATGGTGGGGTGGTGGTGGTGTGCCATGTACTGCCATGCTGCACTGCACTGGACTGCACTGCACCGCACCTTTTTGCTCCACTGCTGGCCTTGCTGTCTCACTTACTGCCACTGTGTCAGGGGATTCCGGTAGCCAGCTGAAGCTTTCTCTGCCCTGTCTCTGTCCCTCTTCTCCTGGTATCGCTTCTTTCGGACTTCTTTTTCGGCCTCATACTTCAGCTTCCATTTCAGCTTCAAGGCCTTCTTCTTTTCCTCCTGCTGCTTCTTCTTCTCCTCTTCCTTTGCCTTCCTCCTCCTTTCCCTTTGTCTTTGCTTCTTCAGCCTTTCCTGCTCCTTCGTTCTCACCCTCTTCTTGTTCTTCTGTTTCTTCTTGCTGGATGGTGTCTTTCCCTTCTTCTTGTTCTCCTTGGCATTCTTCCTTTTGCTCTGATCCCTCTTCTTTTGCTTGGCTTTCTTCTCGGCCTTCTCCTCCTCCTCCCAGGTTGTTTTGGCTTCTTGGATGCTCGCCACGAGGTCTTTCCATTCGTCTTCCAACCCAGGGCTGCAGCTGCTAGGTGCCATGCTCCAGTAGGACAGTAGCTTGAGCCAATCACCTGCCAAGGACTGCTTTGACACAGGGGGGGTTCGAGCCAGGGACCTTTCGGGAACAGAGCACAGCAAAGACAACTAGGCCACAGGGTGGCCTGCCCACCCCCCCCTCTCCCTGGCTCCCTGGCCCCCAGGCCTCCTGGTCCTGGCCTGCCTGGCCCCCCTGGCCCTCTGGCCCTGGGGCCCTCCGTGGCCCCCCTCCGAGCCTTGGCTTTGTTTTAATTAAAAACAGAGGGAGGGAAGGTCGGGAGGGAGGGAAAAAGAGGGCAGAGGGCACAGGGGGGATCGAGCCAGGGACCTTCGGGTTGGGAGGCGGGCCAAGGACCACTGGGCTAGAACAGGCCTGTTTTTGGAGCTGGTCCGACACCTCTAGACCAGGCTCGAAGCCCCCAAAAGCAAAGAAATATTTTCAAAAACGAATGTGTTTTTTTATAAAAATTTAAAAAAATAAAAAGAAACCGCCGGCCGGCGAAGCCGGCCGGCGAATTTTTTTTTTGCTTGATTTATAGGCAGGGGTTGGCAGGAGGAGGGGCTAAAGGCTTTTTTTGTCAGTTTCTGAAGGTTTCGGCTTCAAGGTTGGAAGGGGTGGGTTCAAGGCTTTTGGTTCGGGGGTTCGGTTTTGGAGTATAGGATTGGAGGAACAGCCCTTCGAAATGAATGGGTTTGTGAAGAGGGAGCTGTGGGGCTTGTATTTCAGGAAATTCGGTGGTAAAGATGTAGGTGCCAGTATATGCACTGGTGCAGCACTACGAAATTACGACATATGCGAACACGAAAAGGTTAAGAGTTTTAGGGTAGTGATTTCTGCCCCAGCAAGCACCTTGCAAATAAGTTACTTCTCGGGTGTAGGGGTTTCGGTGTAAGCAAGACCAGACACCTTGTTGTAAGGCTTGTGTAGTTTGCTTTGCAATGGCTTAATCATTGCCGTACTCGCGAAGCGAGGGATTTTTTTGATTTTTATGAAGAAAATCAGTAAGGTAAGCATTGGGATTCGGTTTGCCCGAACAGACACCTTGCAGTTAGGCTTCTGTGATTTTCGGTGTGTATAATTGAAAACTCGCTGTACTCGCGAAGCGAGAAAATTTTTGGCTTTTATGTAAGAAAATCAGCAAAGCAAGCATTTTTCCAAACACACACAGTGAGGCCTCAGAGTTTAAGGGTTGACTTACAGGTTTGGGTTCAAGGTTTTAGGGCTTAGGGCTTAGGGTTTAGGGTTTAGGGTTTGGGGTTTAGGGTTTGGGGTTTTGGGTTTAGGGTTTAGGGTTTAGGGTTTAGGGTTTAGGGTTTAGGGTTTAGGGTTTAGGGCCTGGGCCCCAGCAGGTGGGTTTAAGTAAATTGAGGGGCCCTGGGCCCCAGCAGGTGGGTTTAAGTAAATTGAAGGGCCCTGGGCCCCAGCAGGTGGGTTTCAGTAAATTGAAGGGTCCTGGGCACCAGCAGGTGGGTTTAAGTAAATTGAAGGGCACTGGGCCCCAGCAGGCGGGTTTAAGCAAATTGAAGAGTCCTGGGCCCCAGCAGGTGGGTTTAAGTAAATTGGAGAGCCCTGGGCCCCAGCAGGTGGGTTTAAGTAAATTGAAGGGCACTGGGCCCCAGCAGGTGGGTTTAAGTAAATTGAAGGGCCCTGGGCCCCAGCAGGCGGGTTTAAGCAAATTGAAGAGTCCTGGGCCCCAGCAGGTGGGTTTCAGTAAATTGAAGGGTCCTGGGCCCCAGCAGGTGGGTTTAAGTAAATTGAAGGGCACTGGGCCCCAGCAGGCGGGTTTAAGCAAATTGAAGAGTCCTGGGCCCCAGCAAGTGGGTTTAAGTAAGTTTAAGTAAAGGGTCCTGGGCCCCAGCAGGTGAGTTTAATTAAGTAAATTGAAGGGCCCTGGGCCCCAGCAGGCGGGTTTAAGCAAATTGAAGAGTCCTGGGCACCAGCAGGTGGGTTTCAGTAAATTGAAGGGTCCTGGGCCCCAGCAGGTGGGTTTAAGTAAATTGAAGGGCACTGGGCCCCAGCAGGCGGGTTTAAGCAAATTGAAGAGTCCTGGGCCCCAGCAAGTGGGTTTAAGTAAGTTTAAGTAAAGGGTCCTGGGCCCCAGCAGGTGAGTTTAATTAAGTAAATTGAAGGGCCCTGGGCCCCAGCAGGCGGGTTTAAGCAAATTGAAGAGTCCTGGGCCCCAGCAGGTGGGTTTAGTAAATTGAAGGGTCCTGGGCCCCAGCAGGTGGGTTTAAGTAAATTGAAGGGCACTGGGCCCCAGCAGGCGGGTTTAAGCAAATTGAAGAGTCCTGGGCCCCAGCAAGTGGGTTTAAGTAAGTTTAAGTAAAGGGTCCTGGGCCCCAGCAGGTGAGTTTAATTAAGTAAATTGAAGGGCCCTGGGCCCCAGGAGGCGGGTTTAAGCAAATTGAAGAGTCCTGGGCACCAGCAGGTGGGTTTAAGTCAATTGAAGAGTGTTTAGGGTTTAGGGTTTATAAGGTCATTCTGCAAGCATTTTGGCTTATTTTTGGCTTATTGCAGGACTTATTCTCAGTAGAGGAAAAGCAGAGGAAGATGAGAAGCAAAGGAGAGGAAGAGGAGAGGAAGAGGAGACAGGAAAAGGGTTCAAGGTTTAGGGTTTAGGGTTTAGTAGCTCATCCCCAACATCCTTTCCCTTGAGAGAATTATTGGGATTATAGGAGGGTTTCGGGTTGGGGGGGGGGAGGGTTTAGGGCAGGGCAGGGCAGGGCAGGGCAGGGTAGGCAGGGCAGGGCAGGCCAGGGCCAGGGCCAGGGCCAGGGCAGGGCAGGGTAGGGCAGGGCAGGGGCAGGGCAGGGGCAGGGCAGGGGCAGGGCAGGGCAGGGGCACAGGGCAGGGGCAGGGCAGGGGCAGGGCAGGGGCAGGGCAGGGGCAGGCAGGGCAGCAATGCAGATATCCTTCCACTTCCTTGGCCTACACCTTTTGTCAAGAGACAACAGTGCACAGCACAAGGAACAATCCATTACATGCCAGCACTGACACAGCACTTCTTTTTTTGCATGCCAGCCAGCTGTATGTCCACCCCTCTTAGGAGGAGTCACCTAGAGTCTTACACTCCCAGTGAGTCCAACGTCCTTGCTGCACAAGGTGCCTATGAGGGCAAACTGTATTTGACCCTGTGGCACCAGTTGATGCTGCTCCACGTCCAGATTGCTCTGGCCATGGAAGCTCTGCTGTCATACCCCTTGCTGATCCTTGTGGCCTTATCCTGGGGTCCCCAGCCTCCAATGTATGCAAACTTTGGCTTGCCACTGCCTCGCTCACCTGCCTTGCCCCTTGTCTTCAGATCTGGAAGCAAGCTCTCAATGATGAGTTCTTCTGGGCAAAGATCAGCGACAGTGATTCCTGACACTTCCTGGGGTGTGGGTGCCTCATACGGGGGGGCAGGCTGCAGTGGCTGAGCTGGGGCCCTGCTTATAAGCCTCAGTGCTCTCTGCCTGGCAGGATCTTCCAATTCCTCACCTCCGAGGAAGATGTCTGCAGGCCTGGCTGGTCCAAGTGCCGGTGCAGCCATGGCACGTGCAGCAGGTACCCTTGCAGGTGCTGCATGGGGGGCTGGAATCCAATGCACATCAGCTTGGGCCCCAACAAAAGGTTCTGAGATGTGTTCCTGCAGGGTGGTGTTCCACTTCCCAGAAGCGAATCCAAGGGTGGCCAGCAAGTTGAGGTAGATCACTCTCTTGCCCTTGAACAAGGCTACCTGTCCTGGGTCATTTGTGTCAGGCCCTTGAGCAGCCATGCCTCCAAAGCAGTCTCCTGCTTCTGCCCAAGCCCATGCTGCCAGGACATGTGCTTTGAATTCCTGAAGAGAAATTCGCTTGATCTGGATCAACCCTGTTTCCATCAGCTTCTTGACATAGTCCAGATTCAGCATTGCTCCAGGCAGCAGCTCTGCCAATGACTGTGCAGCTGATGCTCTGACTCTGGTCTCGAATCTGCCACCAGTAGCCTGATGAAGACGGCCCAGGAGCTGGAAGGTGTAGTCCTGAAGAGCTTGCTTCCTGTTGATCATGTGGTACATGTGGCTTGGCCACACAGGGTCCAGTCCTGTCAGGGCCAATCTTGTGTGGTGCAGGAGGGGATATAGCTGTATGGCTTTGCCTTCATCATTGCCAAAAGGGCCAGATCCATGAGGCTTTCCTTCGAGGGATCCATAAATGAACCCACCCAGGTTTCTCTGAGAACCAGGCACCAAGGGCAGCACCCTCCATTTGAAGCCATTCCGTCTGTCATGCCAGACACCATGTCCACTGCAACGAATACCAAACAGCCACACATGGTTCTCATCCCTTGCCATGAGGCCAATGTCCATAGCAGTATGAGCATCTGGTACATGTGGAATCTGATTCAAGACTTGTTGTGGGCTCGGCAGCAGCAGCTGCTTCATCCCAAATCTTCCTACATACACCTGGGCAATACCTGCACTCTGGAGCACTGCCTTGAACATTTCGCTCTGGACCTTGATCGCCCCTCGGGTCAAGCCTGAGTGATCAGTTGGTGTGGCAACTGGCTGCTCTGATCCCGCTCTCCAAAGAACCTCACAGAGATATTCCTTCCAGTCTTGCATGTCTTCACCAGCAGGTACTGGAACATACACAGCCATTGGGTATGGGCACACTTGGATGACATCCTGTGGCCTTTCTGGATATATCTTGAGGATAGGCTGCTGGAGAAGCTGGTAATCCAGCAATGGGTGCTCTGGAAGCTGATTTGTTGGCACTTTGCAAAAACTCATGTCCAGGTCCAGGGGGAAAACCTGGATTGGGTTTGGCAGTGGCTCTGCTGGAGCTTGCACTGCTGGAGCTTGCACAAGTGCTCTCTGCACAGCCCTCAAGCGAAGCAATGCACCCAGAAAGTTTCTCTGTAGGAGACAGTATGCTGGGTTGTAGTGCGGAGTCACCACTTCATCTTCACCGAAAGGCCTTATGATCAGGCCAAGCAAATACCCTCCAATGATGTCCACAACCTCTGGTGGGAACGAAGCATGAGCCATGGCCTCCACCACTACAAGCTCGTTAGCTGCTATGGGCCTTTCCAACCAAGGACTGCTGTAACAGAACTCGCAAGTCATACTGCTGCATAAACTGACAGTGACATGACAACACAGAAAGGCTTCACATGTGTGGTCTGTCTCTTGTCGGTTTCTCTTCCTCTCTTTTTCTCGTCTGTCTCCGTCTCTCTCCTTTCTCTTCATATTTCTCTCTCTCATTCTCTCTCTATCTCTGTCTCTACCTCACTCAAGTTGTTTTTCGGTGGTTCGTTCACTGGTTTGTTTCTTTGCTTGTTGCTTGTTTGTCTGTTTGTCTGTGTGTGTGTGTGTGTCTGTGTGTCTCTGTGTCAATGTGTCTGTGTGTCAATGTGTCTGTTTGTCTGTGTGTCTGTGTGTTTGTGTGTCTCTGTGTGTGTGTGTGTGTTTGTCTGTTTGCTTGTGTGTCTGTCTGTTTGTCTGTCTGGCTGGCTAGCCGTGTCTACCTGTCTACCTGTCTACCTGTCTGCCTGTCTGCCTGTCTGCCCGTCTACCTGCCTGTCTGTCCTTTTTACTCCTCCTGGCCCTGTCCCCCCCCCCCCTCCCCCTAGTCAGTTTTTCTCTCTAATTATTTATTAATTATATATTATTAGTTCTTAATGAACTAATTAATTAACTAATTTTTAATTAATTAATTAATTAATTAATTAATTAATTAATTAATTAATTAATCAATTAATTAATTATTCATTAATTAAGGGTCATTTTATGCTTTGGGGGGGGTGGGGGGGGACAGGGCCAATTGGAGTAAAAATCAATAGGTCCAGTCCCCCACCCCCCTGGGTTTTTGAATTTGCTATGGTCCCCCATATGATTTTTGCAATTTTCTGAGCTGCCCTTTTGTATTTTGCTTAAGGGCTCGAAATTACAATCAAGTCTGCTATGGTCCCCCATATGACTGTTGTGATTGTCGGAGCTGGCCTCTTGTGTTTTGCTTAAGGGCTCGAACTTATACTCACACTTCTGCTAGGGCACCCCACAGGACTTAAGCCTTGGGCCTTTCACTTGAAATCCTGAAAGTAAACAAACAAATTGCAAGCCCCTAAACCCCAAAACCCTTAAACTCAAAACATGGTGGGGTGGTGGTGGTGTGCCATGTACTGCCATGCTGCACTGCACTGGACTGCACTGCACCGCACCTTTTTGCTCCACTGCTGGCCTTGCTGTCTCACTTACTGCCACTGTGTCAGGGGATTCCGGTAGCCAGCTGAAGCTTTCTCTGCCCTGTCTCTGTCCCTCTTCTCCTGGTATCGCTTCTTTCGGACTTCTTTTTCGGCCTCATACTTCAGCTTCCATTTCAGCTTCAAGGCCTTCTTCTTTTCCTCCTGCTGCTTCTTCTTCTCCTCTTCCTTTGCCTTCCTCCTCCTTTCCCTTTGTCTTTGCTTCTTCAGCCTTTCCTGCTCCTTCGTTCTCACCCTCTTCTTGTTCTTCTGTTTCTTCTTGCTGGATGGTGTCTTTCCCTTCTTCTTGTTCTCCTTGGCATTCTTCCTTTTGCTCTGATCCCTCTTCTTTTGCTTGGCTTTCTTCTCGGCCTTCTCCTCCTCCTCCCAGGTTGTTTTGGCTTCTTGGATGCTCGCCACGAGGTCTTTCCATTCGTCTTCCAACCCAGGGCTGCAGCTGCTAGGTGCCATGCTCCAGTAGGACAGTAGCTTGAGCCAATCACCTGCCAAGGACTGCTTTGACACAGGGGGGGTTCGAGCCAGGGACCTTTCGGGAACAGAGCACAGCAAAGACAACTAGGCCACAGGGTGGCCTGCCCACCCCCCCCTCTCCCTGGCTCCCTGGCCCCCAGGCCTCCTGGTCCTGGCCTGCCTGGCCCCCCTGGCCCTCTGGCCCTGGGGCCCTCCGTGGCCCCCCTCCGAGCCTTGGCTTTGTTTTAATTAAAAACAGAGGGAGGGAAGGTCGGGAGGGAGGGAAAAAGAGGGCAGAGGGCACAGGGGGGATCGAGCCAGGGACCTTCGGGTTGGGAGGCGGGCCAAGGACCACTGGGCTAGAACAGGCCTGTTTTTGGAGCTGGTCCGACACCTCTAGACCAGGCTCGAAGCCCCCAAAAGCAAAGAAATATTTTCAAAAACGAATGTGTTTTTTTTATAAAAATTTAAAAAAATAAAAAGAAACCGCCGGCCGGCGAAGCCGGCCGGCGAATTTTTTTTTTGCTTGATTTATAGGCAGGGGTTGGCAGGAGGAGGGGCTAAAGGCTTTTTTTGTCAGTTTCTGAAGGTTTCGGCTTCAAGGTTGGAAGGGGTGGGTTCAAGGCTTTTGGTTCGGGGGTTCGGTTTTGGAGTATAGGATTGGAGGAACAGCCCTTCGAAATGAATGGGTTTGTGAAGAGGGAGCTGTGGGGCTTGTATTTCAGGAAATTCGGTGGTAAAGATGTAGGTGCCAGTATATGCACTGGTGCAGCACTACGAAATTACGACATATGCGAACACGAAAAGGTTAAGAGTTTTAGGGTAGTGATTTCTGCCCCAGCAAGCACCTTGCAAATAAGTTACTTCTCGGGTGTAGGGGTTTCGGTGTAAGCCCGACCAGACACCTTGTTGTAAGGCTTGTGTAGTTTGCTTTGCAATGGCTTAATCATTGCCGTACTCGCGAAGCGAGGGATTTTTTTTGATTTTTATGAAGAAAATCAGTAAGGTAAGCATTGGGATTCGGTTTGCCCGAACAGACACCTTGCAGTTAGGCTTCTGTGATTTTCGGTGTGTATAATTGAAAACTCGCTGTACTCGCGAAGCGAGAAAATTTTTGGCTTTTATGTAAGAAAATCAGCAAAGCAAGCATTTTTCCAAACACACACAGTGAGGCCTCAGAGTTTAAGGGTTGACTTACAGGTTTGGGTTCAAGGTTTTAGGGCTTAGGGCTTAGGGTTTAGGGTTTAGGGTTTGGGGTTTAGGGTTTGGGGTTTTGGGTTTAGGGTTTAGGGTTTAGGGTTTAGGGTTTAGGGTTTAGGGTTTAGGGTTTAGGGCCTGGGCCCCAGCAGGTGGGTTTAAGTAAATTGAGGGGCCCTGGGCCCCAGCAGGTGGGTTTAAGTAAATTGAAGGGCCCTGGGCCCCAGCAGGTGGGTTTCAGTAAATTGAAGGGTCCTGGGCACCAGCAGGTGGGTTTAAGTAAATTGAAGGGCACTGGGCCCCAGCAGGCGGGTTTAAGCAAATTGAAGAGTCCTGGGCCCCAGCAGGTGGGTTTAAGTAAATTGGAGAGCCCTGGGCCCCAGCAGGTGGGTTTAAGTAAATTGAAGGGCACTGGGCCCCAGCAGGTGGGTTTAAGTAAATTGAAGGGCCCTGGGCCCCAGCAGGCGGGTTTAAGCAAATTGAAGAGTCCTGGGCCCCAGCAGGTGGGTTTCAGTAAATTGAAGGGTCCTGGGCCCCAGCAGGTGGGTTTAAGTAAATTGAAGGGCACTGGGCCCCAGCAGGCGGGTTTAAGCAAATTGAAGAGTCCTGGGCCCCAGCAAGTGGGTTTAAGTAAGTTTAAGTAAAGGGTCCTGGGCCCCAGCAGGTGAGTTTAATTAAGTAAATTGAAGGGCCCTGGGCCCCAGCAGGCGGGTTTAAGCAAATTGAAGAGTCCTGGGCACCAGCAGGTGGGTTTCAGTAAATTGAAGGGTCCTGGGCCCCAGCAGGTGGGTTTAAGTAAATTGAAGGGCACTGGGCCCCAGCAGGCGGGTTTAAGCAAATTGAAGAGTCCTGGGCCCCAGCAAGTGGGTTTAAGTAAGTTTAAGTAAAGGGTCCTGGGCCCCAGCAGGTGAGTTTAATTAAGTAAATTGAAGGGCCCTGGGCCCCAGCAGGCGGGTTTAAGCAAATTGAAGAGTCCTGGGCCCCAGCAGGTGGGTTTCAGTAAATTGAAGGGTCCTGGGCCCCAGCAGGTGGGTTTAAGTAAATTGAAGGGCACTGGGCCCCAGCAGGCGGGTTTAAGCAAATTGAAGAGTCCTGGGCCCCAGCAAGTGGGTTTAAGTAAGTTTAAGTAAAGGGTCCTGGGCCCCAGCAGGTGAGTTTAATTAAGTAAATTGAAGGGCCCTGGGCCCCAGGAGGCGGGTTTAAGCAAATTGAAGAGTCCTGGGCACCAGCAGGTGGGTTTAAGTCAATTGAAGAGTGTTTAGGGTTTAGGGTTTATAAGGTCATTCTGCAAGCATTTTGGCTTATTTTTGGCTTATTGCAGGACTTATTCTCAGTAGAGGAAAAGCAGAGGAAGATGAGAAGCAAAGGAGAGGAAGAGGAGAGGAAGAGGAGACAGGAAAAGGGTTCAAGGTTTAGGGTTTAGGGTTTAGTAGCTCATCCCCAACATCCTTTCCCTTGAGAGAATTATTGGGATTATAGGAGGGTTTCGGGTTGGGGGGGGGGAGGGTTTAGGGCAGGGCAGGGCAGGGCAGGGCAGGGTAGGCAGGGCAGGGCAGGCCAGGGCCAGGGCCAGGGCCAGGGCAGGGCAGGGTAGGGCAGGGCAGGGGCAGGGCAGGGGCAGGGCAGGGGCAGGGCAGGGCAGGGGCACAGGGCAGGGGCAGGGCAGGGGCAGGGCAGGGGCAGGCAGGGCAGCAATGCAGATATCCTTCCACTTCCTTGGCCTACACCTTTTGTCAAGAGACAACAGTGCACAGCACAAGGAACAATCCATTACATGCCAGCACTGACACAGCACTTCTTTTTTTGCATGCCAGCCAGCTGTATGTCCACCCCTCTTAGGAGGAGTCACCTAGAGTCTTACACTCCCAGTGAGTCCAACGTCCTTGCTGCACAAGGTGCCTATGAGGGCAAACTGTATTTGACCCTGTGGCACCAGTTGATGCTGCTCCACGTCCAGATTGCTCTGGCCATGGAAGCTCTGCTGTCATACCCCTTGCTGATCCTTGTGGCCTTATCCTGGGGTCCCCAGCCTCCAATGTATGCAAACTTTGGCTTGCCACTGCCTCGCTCACCTGCCTTGCCCCTTGTCTTCAGATCTGGAAGCAAGCTCTCAATGATGAGTTCTTCTGGGCAAAGATC